AGCCCCTCTTCTCCCCAGCCCCTCTTCTCCCCAGGCCATCTTCTCCCCAGCCCCTCTTCTCTAATGCTTCCATTGTAATCTTCACTTACTTTCCCCTTCAGGCTCTACTCTCCTCTCTCCTCTCTCCTATAAGGTGCAGTCAGGGTATTCTTTTCCTCTTATAATTCACCTTATTTTTAACCTTAGAAGTATTTTTTTCAAGCAATAATGTGTCTTGTGGGGAAGCATTTTCCCTCCTCACTTGTGGTGGTTTGTTGAGAATTCCACAATGTGTTTTGATCATCCGTCCCCTCCCCAGTTCATCCCAGGCTCACTCCCCAGTGTTCTCCTTTTTTTTTTTTTTTTAAACCCTTAGGATCCGATTTGTGTTGCTCATACTTTCCTGAGTGTGGGGCCATCCACTGGAGCGTGGTGGTGTTACTTGTTCTTCTGTTGCTGTGATAAAGCATCACGACCAAGGCACTTTATAGGAGGGTTTTATTTGGCTTACAGTTCTGGGGGATAAGAGTCCATCATGGCAGGGGAAGGGTGGTGGCAGAGGTGGCCAGAGCAGAAAGCTGAGCACTCACACTTCAACCGTAAACACAAGTAGGAGAGCCAACAGGAAGTGGAACAAGGCCATGAACTTTCAAAGCCCAGCCCCAGAGACATTCTTCCTCCAGCAAGTTGCACCCCCTAAACCTCTGGAAACAGCACCACCAACTGGAGACTGAGGGTTCAGTCCATGAGCCTATGGGGACAATTCCCATTCAAACCAGCAGGCGGTTGGCCTGCCAGGGACCACACCTTAAAGAAGACTGACTCTCCCTCTCCCAGAGGTCTCACCTCTCGCTCCTCGGTACTGATGGAACATTGTGCCCACCCCTTCTCCATGCTGGGATTTTGTCTGACTTGAGCTTGCCACCCTGTGTGAGCACCAGAAACCAAACTTGGGTCTTCTGGAAGGGCAGTATGTGCTCTGAACTGCTGAGCCATCTCTCCAGCGCCAACATTTTTACATATTTTTATTTGCAATTTGATTTTCACATTTTCACTATTGAATAATAAAATTTTAGAATTGACACTGTTACCAAAAGATGTCAGTTTTAACCTTCTTAAGAGAAATGGAGCTTCATGGAAACTTTTATGTCCTAAGCCACCAATTCACATAGCTAGCAGGTAACAAATGTTTAATTCAAAAACAAACAAACAAACAAACAAATGGGGCTGGAGAGATGGCTCAGTGGTTAAGAGCACTGGCTGCTCTTGCAGAGGACCCAGGTTCAGTTCCCAGCACCCACATGGCAGCTAACAACTGTCCATAACTCCAGTTCTAGGGGATCTAACACCCTCTTCTGGCCTCTGCAGGCTTTGCATGTCATGGTGCACTTATATGTGAGCAAAACATATTGTGATAAGGTACCTTCTTGACCATAGCTACACCACGTTGAAGTCTGGACTGAATTCAGCCTCTAAAACTAAAAGGCAGTCGGCCCAGGTGTGAGAACAAGAAGGTGTGTCTCGCTGTGTCAAGGCAGGAGTTTGAGAACAAGCAGGCTTCTGGCTGCCTAGAGAACAGGTCAGAACGTCCTGGTTGCTCCTGCTAACTGCAGATTTATGGCTTCTGTGTTTCACACTTGGTTTGATTTGCAGAACAGTAATTGTTAGAGGGGCTTTCCACCCCTAAGCTATGGAAACACTTGGAAATAAACTTTTCATCATGGATGTGGTTTTTCTGCATAAAGGGTTACCCTAAGAATGGTTAGATACTGTACTTGGGTTCAAATGCCTTGTGTAGTCGCCAGCAGGCTAATAAAGGACTTTCTTTTGGCATTATTTTGTGACTGGGTGGGCTTCTCTGATGAAAAATCTTACAACAGCATACAATAAAAGTCAATAAATAAAACTTAAAAACTCGGAACACTCCTTCACCGAAGTAACATCTCAGACCTGGACTCGAGGCCAGCACAGAGACGCGCTCTTACTCCAGCATGTAGCTTGAGATGAGACCATTCATCACCTCCTTTGTTAGGTCAGAACTACTTCTTAGCCATTCCTTGTGGACAACACTTGGGTAGGAAATGGAGGAGAGGAGGAAGGAACTTAAGGAATCTCCCTCCTGGGGACCTAGACCATACTAACTTTCATTAAACTCTGAGAACCAGAAATTAATGCAGCCACAACAGCCAGGTCACTATATGAAAAACAAGATGATCCGCAGACCACGTCTTTGAGGACTCCATAGTATAAATCCAGGGGCTCACTGGACTTCCACATGTATCTCCTTTGAATGGACTGGTCTGACTATCTGCACTCACAGTCTCTCTAACTCAGCATCCACTACAGGTGACCACATCCGGAGGTGCCGGCCCTCACCTGAGGTACCGTACTCTCCGTCTGTACCCTGCCTGGAGCGGCCCCTGTCTGTTCCCTGCTGCCCTTTGCATCACTGCTTTCCCACAATGCACCATTCTTCATGACTGGAGGAGCTCTCCCATCAATCTTCTATTATATAAAAATAAGAGGCTGCTCTTAAGGCCTCCCTGGGAATGTGGCAATGTGTGCTAAAGAGCACATTCTCATCAAACAGCTCTCGTGGTGGGTTCCTTCAAAACCTGAAGGTCCTTTGTTTCCCTCTTGACAATCTCTTGTTAATGAATTGCTCACAGAGAGCATTGTAAAGAATTGGGGCAGGGCCACTCTTAAAAACCCAGAGTCAGTGCTTACTATGGAACAAGCACTATGACCAAAGTAAAAAGGTCAAAACAGACTTCAAAAACGTGATTGAAAGTTATATGGCCCCATTATCACGGACTTTTAGAATAGATTCAGAAATGATCTTCAATTGGCAGGAGACGTTGCATAGATTTTGGTATGTTAAGGCACCGGCAAGGTCCATGCTGGGGCATGCTCAGGCACTCAGGGTCTCATTTCAGGTCCGCTCAGGGTTAAGTCCGCAGGAATGCCTGGGAGAATCAGTGGCTGCCTCTAGATGCTGCCAGAGTGGCATGAGCTCCTCACTTTCTGTAGTGATGTGAGTTACTTGTTCCTTATTTAAAAAATTAAATACTGTGTAACCCAGGCTGTCCTCAAACTCACCAAGATCTGTCTGCCTCTGCCTCCCAAGTGGAGAGCTGGGATTAAAGATGTGCACCACCATGCCAGCTTCTAGTTTAAAATGAATCTCCGACTTATCGCTTTCCTCAGAGCAGCAAGCACCTCCTTGTTCCTCAGGCTGTAGATGAGAGGGTTGAGCATGGGGGTGAAGATGGTGTTAATCATGGAGAGGATCTCGTCCTGCTCAGAAGTGTGGAAAGAGTGAGGGGTCATGTAGATAATCATGGCTGGCCCATAATAAAGGCTCACTACAGCCAGATGAGAGGAACAGGTGGCCAGTGCTTTCCTCTGGCCCTCTGGAGAATTCATTCGGAGGACAGTGAGGAAGATGAGCAGGTAGGAGGCCATGATGAGTCCCAAGGGGAGGAGGACAAACACGATGCAGAGGCTGGACACCACTGCCTCGTACAGGGCAGTGTCTTCGCAAGAGAGCTTCAGGACAGCAGGCATTTCGCAGAAGAAGTGGTGGATTTCCCTGGAGCCACAGAATGGGAAGTGCATGGTGTAGATGGTGTTGATGAGGGAGTTGAGGATGCCTCCACCCCAGGATGCCAAGGCCATCCACAGACATACCCCGGAGTTCATGATAATTGAGTATCTCAAAGGGTTGCACACAGCCACATAGCGGTCATAAGCCATGACGGTCAGGAGGAGACACTCACTACCCCCAAGGGCAAAGAAAAAGAAAATCTGGGTTCCACAAGCAACTTTAGAGATGTTTTCCTTCCCGGAGAAAAAGCTGATGACCGTCTTTGGGACTGTGGTGGAAATTAAGGCCAGATCAATAACAGAGAGGTTACTGAGCAGTATGTACATGGGGGTGTGGAGCCGAGCATCCGCCCAGATCAAAAGGACCAGGACGGTGTTGCCCGTGAAGGCGATGAAGTAGATGAGGAGAATGGAGGTGATGAGGACGCCCAGGTACCGCAGCTCCGGGAACAGCCCCAGGAGAACAAAGTCTGTCCAGGTCTCATTCCCTCTGATCATGTTTTGGCCTTCCAGACTTACAGTGCAGAATCATAAAAATGTGCATGCTGATGAGGTGGTCAGCCTTTTGTTTTTGTAATTTCATCAGAAATACTTCCTTTGAATATCATTATCAACATAAAATTTAAAAAAAGACAAAAAAGAAAAGCTGAGGGCTGGGGCCAGACGTTTTATTAAAGAGTAAAGCTCACTTCCCTGAGACTGGGGACGGGGCTATGTAAACATCTCCGTTGTGGTAACATGGATGTGGGGATGTATCAACATGAACAGCCCAGGGGGAGGGGTTCAACTAGAACAGGCTAGATTCTTTGGAGAGAAACGACTGGTGAGAAGTACCAGGGTCAGGTCCGTGGCTAAACGTCATTCAAGGAAGAGAACACCCTGCTGTATCCCCGTGTGTCACTGGTTTGTAACTATGTCTCATGAACTTTGAACAGTCTGCCATACATGTAGCCTCACACTGGGTGCCTCAGTGGAGCAAGAGAGCAGGATGGGGACAGCTGGCATGGGATGTCATGGTACAGGGCACCATACAGCAGAAGACACCTGAGGAGCCACAATTTGGAGCTGGAGATGCCCTTCCACACCACTGTCTTCAAGGAGAACAGGTTGAAGAGACAGTAAGGATTCCTTTTGCAAGTGGTACACATTTCTGCTAATTTTGTTCAAGTTGGGATGATGACAGTTACCCTAGGGGTCACCTGCCTTACACACAGGGGAATGGCGGCACACACACACACACACACACGTATGAAATTGTTCTTGCAAGATCCACAAAGGGCCTTTGATCTAATCTCAAGATATTTTCTTTGAAGTAACCAATATCATTCAGTGCTTCTTGCTTTGAAGTCATCGTTTCTGATAGTCTTAATCAAATTTAATCATAGAAAATGGAACAAAGTCTCTAATCAAGGGGTTCTGTTTGGAATCCAGCATGTTCGTAGCTCATTGGCCAATTTTCACGCTAATATGCCGATGTGCTGTTTTGCCTCATGTGGCTTAAAATGCAGTCAACTGCTTATGAAGATGTCCTGGGGCTGAAGGTAGCCCCGCACGTGCTTTGCATGCCCAAGGCCCTGGGTTTGATCCCTCCCGCCTCATGCTTAGAAATCCTGCACTCACCAATTTGCCTCAGGCTGTTAACAACCTTATTAATTCACTTCTACTTAACTTGTCTGTCTTAATGTACTTGATGAAGATGTATTTTAAAATATCTGGATGCAGCTGATGGCTGTGGGTAAGGTCATGCACTCAGACCTGAGTACCCACCCACTTACCTGGGCACTCAGCACTGTTTGAATGGGTGTGCGGGTGCTTCCCACAACACTGACTGTAATTACGGAATGTTCTAGAACTAACCTGAAATGAAATCCAAAGCTTAACTTTTGACCTCACATTAAGATCTGGGACAAAGGAAAAAGGTGGTTAGAGTGGCTGGTCTGGTGTCCTTGGTTCTGTTTATTCAGCGTCCACAGGCCATGCTCCAACACTGTCAGCCATACTGTGCTCCCACCCCCGGGGCAATGGTCTCAGGCAGACCCTCACTTGGGCTCTTCTTTGGTCTTTAGGGTGTGGAGGAGGCAACCCTCCCTCTCCAGAGAGCAGATAAGGCGATTCTAGTGGTGATTCCACTTCCAAAGCACATCCGACTGTAATGAGGAACGAGGCTTTGGAAAGCACAGAGACTTTGTTTCGCTTACCGGTGAAGACCCCACATGTGCACAGCCTTCTCCATCAGCGGCACCCTGACCAAGGTGGTACACTGGTTAAAGCTGAACTACACTATCTCATCACTGTGTCCTCCAGGCTAGAGTTCACCCTACCTAGGATTCTCATAAGAAAAAATTTGTTTTGCGTTTAAAGAGGGACTCAGGTGCGGATGATGGGCAAGCAGGCAAACTAAGGCTGGCCTCTTCACCAACAAGGGCTGTGTGGCTTGCTCTACCCATGTAACAGGTGTTTCCTTTTCGTGTGTCTGCCTGGGAGAAGCTGGGCTTTTTCAGGTCTGTCTCAGAGCCGTCACATGGTGACTGGTGTGTAAGACAATCTACTACTAAGAAAGGACAGGAGGAAGGACAGGAACCTGTTAGGACCGGTCTGGGAGGACCACAGATGTTATTTTAAGCACTCACCTGTGGAAGTGGTCTTTGCAATATTACTGGTTGAAAATGGCTGTCATCTATGGAGAAATTATTTTGTCTCCTCAGATCCTTACCACCGTCGGTCTTAACACTGGGACAGATTGGTCCTAAGTCAGTGTCAGCACACGGCCAGGGTCAGCGGTCTCCTCCCTCATGGCTGCCTTTACCTACTCAGATGACGCTTGTTGGGTTCTGTCTGGCTGTCTTCTCCAGTCAGTTTTACACTGTTTCACACTAAAACTGTAAGAACAATTCAATAAAATTTAAGACTAAAGAAGTATAGTCCAATAAAAATAACTATGAAATACAAATTGATTTCTGGAAAGGAAGAGATGCCAGTCATGTTCAGGAAGATGGCAGAGGTTGGAAGGTTGATACTCCCTGAGCAGAAGGGAGTCCTGTGATCAGAGCTCTGCTGATCTCTCTCACACTGTGCTAGGTTATTTTTAGCATCCCATTGATTACCTCACTCTCTCAAGATCAAGTGCACAAGCAAAGGCCTGGGTTTGAACCCGGCAATCTGGTCACTCTCTCAGCCCCTCTCTTGCTCTCTGATTTTCCAGGACCCTCTCCTAGCGCAGGCATACCTGACGGTGAGGGTGCCAACTCAGCTGCACCGCCTCTGGGTAAAGTTAGCGTCCCCGTTCACAGTGGCTACCTGGGGTCTCCTGTCTGCAGATCTCAGGCCTGAAGGGATGAAACCCATGAACCCCGAAGGCCACAAATGATGACATCTGGAGAGCGCTAACCTGGGAGGACGCGTCGCTTCAGCCCATTTAAAGACCAGATTATAGGGACCAGCAAAACAGCTGGGTTAAGAATCTGAGGTCAGCAACAACATCAGAAAACGTGGGCTCCCAAGCACAGTCCAGCCTCTGTGGAGAATACACTCAGATGAGTGATTGAGACCTGCCATGGGGAAGATGGCCTGATCGATGCACACCACAGCAACTGGCTGCGACCCTCCAGGAAACAAGGGATAAATATGAGATGTGCCTCAGGAACTGCCTGATGAAATTAACACCTGTTACAGAAGCTCTCCTGGGAGCTCTGGTACGTCTGTCCTCTGGGAATCCTGTCCCCCAAACATCAATTAGCTGCGTTCTCTGATAGCTGCTTCAGTTTCTTCTAGATTTCAGACTAATTGAGCAAGTGGGAAGGATTTAGAGAGTGAATCTTAGGTCCCTTACTGTGCAAGTGTCCTGTGGTGTCCAGACAAGTTTCCTTGTATTCATCTACCACCTCTGACTCTTAAATCTTCCCGCCTGCTCTTCCTCAATGACTCCTTAGCCTTGGGAGGAGAGGGTGTGACACAGGTGTCCCATTTAGGGCCGAGCAGTCTCTTACTCTCTACATGTTGACCATCTGTGGGTCTCTGTGTTAATTGCCTCCTGCTGCCAGAAAAACTTTGTTGAGAGCTGAGCAACGCACTAATCTATGGGTGTAACAATAGGTCATTATGAGTCAGTTTAATACTATGTCTATTTAGTAAAATGATACTATTAAGTTGTGCCCTCTGACCTGTGCTCTGTCAGGTACAGATTCTTGGTCCTCATAATGGTGTCAGGTATGAACTCTGTATTGTGAAGTGGGCCTTAAATCCAGTTAGAGGGTGGTTTGGCACTCCTTCATGCCACCATTGCACCAGTGGGTATATTTTACCAAGCCAGGTAGGGTTCACAGGTGGGTAAGGTTGATGATTACCATCTCTCACAGTAACACCCATCCTGTTGACCCTCATGGCTTATGACCACAATGCAGCTATCTGTAACCCCCTAAATATAGAATCATTTTGAATTCTAGGGTCTGTTTACCAATGGCCATAGTGTCCTGGGTTGGGGCATCATAGCTTCCACAGTCCGTACATCTTAAACCACCCAGAGAAACCTACCATTTCCATTGTGATGAAGATCATGAAGACCTCACACAGATGCCTTCCCCCTTGAGCTGGGGTTTGGGGAAGGGGATTGCATTTATGATAATCTCCTTCGGACTTGGCTTCTGACTCTCATCTTCCTCCACGTTCTTTCCATAAAATCCCCACAAGGAAGGAACACACAGTGGCTGCCGGCCCCTCCCATATCTGTGGTGTCAGTCTGCTTAGGCCTGTGGTTATGTTTATACCACACTAGTTTCTCCTTAGTCCTGAGCGGGTGCAGGCTGCTTCTATTTTCCACTGTCTTTGCGCTGTGATGGCTAAAGATGTCGAACACTGATTTTCATGTATGCAGTGGCTGTTTGTCCCTCCTCTCTTAAGAAAGTATCCACTGGCTCATTCATCATGTTCTGCTTCCTGAACGACATGACCAGCTGCTTCCAGATCCTACTGCCTTGACTTCCCTGCCATGAACAGGCTATGCCCTTGAACCCTGAGCTAAAGTAAACCCCTTCTCCCTCAAGAAAAGAAAAGCATCTACTAAGTTCATTTGCTCTATAGTTTGGATTACACTTTTTTTTTGCATTTAGTGTTTTAGTTCTTTATATATTCAGGGTATAAATTGTCCATCGGATCAATGGCTGGTAAATATTTTCTTCTGTTTTCTAGGCTTACCTGTCTTTGTTCTCTATTAATTCTTTCTTTCTGTGAAGAGGTTTTTGATACATTTTTTTAAAATGTATTATATTTGAGGAGGAAGAATGGAAATTTACGTCATGTTAATTATTAGAGGTGATAAACATTACCATTGAAATCTACCTGATGACTTTATATCCACACTCAGGTGCCAAGGATCCAAGTGTAACCGACTATGACTAGTAATAATCAGATACATAGAGATTAAAGACACATGTGCAAACATCTAAGTG